TCTTTGGCAGTGACATCACTGGTCCTGTCTACTTGTTTGCACTGTACTACCAGTGCTGTCCTACAGAACTTTCTGCAGCTCTCAGTAATGTAGCCATCAGCCATGTGTGGCTATTGAGCACTTGAAATTTACCTGGGGCAACTAAAGACTAAGACATTAAATTTATTCGATTTTCATTAATGTAAGTTTCATTGGCCATGTGTGGTTAGTGGGTGAGCTGCTGGGTAGAATAGTTCAAGCATAAAACCTATGTCAAGGCAGTTTCTCTGCCTTAGTTCATCTCAACATCTGAGTGCCGGGTAAGTTTCTGATACAGAACAGGTGCTCATTAAGCATTGATGTGGTTGCTGAGTCAGGAGTGGCACTGAGGGACAGGACCTTGCTGGAGAAAGAGCAAGGAATATACATGACGGTGTTGTGTGTCAGTCTATTTCAGTTTCCATGACAGAATTCTCTTCTACTGGGTAATTTAGAAGTAATAAAATTTTACTGCTCACAGTTCTGAAGACTGGGATTTCTAAGACCAAGGAGACATCAAATTTATTATTTGATGACTTCTCTCTCTCTCTCTTTCTCTCTCTCTCTCTCTGTCAACATGGAGCCTTCTTGATCCATCTGTAAAATCAGAAAGGGGATGACAGGCTTGTTTGATAGATGTTTAATCCCATATTTGAGAATAGTGTTCTCATGACCTGATTACCTTCCAAAGGGTCCACCACTTAATACTGTCACCTGAAGATTAGGTTTCAGCACACACATTTTGGGAGAATACAGTCATTCAGATCATGGCACTCTGCGGCAGAGAATGCCCCTGTATTGTGCCTTTTATTTCATGGACTAATGGAAGTGGTACAAGTGTTACAGTAAGGAGATGGGGATTTAAGGTACTTACCCACTATCCACTTGCTCTGTGAGCTCAGGCAAACCACATAGCCACCTCTGAGCTGTGATTTTATGTTCCTCTAAAACAGGGACATAAAAGAATGCAACCTTGAACTCATTGGATTTTATAAGAATCAACTGAGGCCAAGAATAGGAAAACCAAGCTGTAAATTATGAAGCAGTCTGTAAATATATGGTGTTGTTATTAGTCCCAGAGATTGGTCCTGTTAGCAGATAAATATCAGGAGTCAGTTATCAAACATCATATCATCTAGACAGCCCACGTTCTGGAAAAGCTGGCGTGTACTCATTTTACTCCAGGATGGAAAAAGAATAAATAAATCATAAATGATTAATTTAGACTTCCCTCCATGCCTCTGTTAACAGCATCCAGCCCCCACCACACAGCAGGCTCAGTGATGAACTGGTGAGGTAGAACCTTCAAGACGTCCGCTAACCCTTCTCCAAGTACAACCAGCTGTGAAAACAAATTTAATTCCACCAACACGGCAAAGGAGCAATGCTTTTTCATAGGTTAGAGATATAATGTTCACCCCATTCAGAGGAATCCAAACCAAATACTGACTTCTGGGGATAAGGATATTAAGCATAATAGACAGATTATCTGCTGGTTTACCAAAGGTGAAGGAAGAGACATTTGTCATGGTTTTACTAGAAAATGAGACTGTATCAAAGGGAGGGAGGGTGAAAGGTCACCAGTTCTATTGGTGCGATTATTATCTTTACATAGCTGGAGTGGCAAAAGAAATGATCCCAAACAGAGCAAAACAAAACAGACCTCACCGAAGCACTTCAAGATGAGCCCCCAGAAGCCATCATTCCAGATGCACTGGCTTCATATTAATTCATCATCTTGGGCCCTGTTGACAAGGGTTGATTGCATTCTCCATCTATCCTAGCTGAAGCAGGTTTCATCACACAGCACCACGTGGTGGAACCTGGCATGGGTATTTTTTAGAAGTCAATCATTATAAGAAAAATAATACTATCAATTTTTAGCACCTACTACATTCCTGGAACTGTGACTTCTTTGTATCTCAGTTGATAATAACAAAATGATAACATTACCACTTTCAAAGTAAAGCAACCTGGGCTTCAACACATTGGCCCATTTTAGAGCTGGTTTCAGGGATGACTCTTTTTTTCATGTTAAAAAAAAATAGAGCAATGATTGCTGTCATGGAGCTTCTTCTACAAATACCTTGGTTCCTCAAAAATCATGCACGTAAGGCACTTGGTCTCCAATACATGTTTGGACTTTCTATCAACATCTTTGCTCATATCTTTATACAGTTTATAATTTTGAGACCAGGGAAATTTAAAAAGCCTCTTCTGATCAAGCTAGGTGTCTTTAATGTTGTCCTCACAGCCCTATCAGAGGTTACTTTCATTTCAGACAAAGATTTAGTGCGAATCCCCTCAGGTGAAGCAATGTCTCCAGTCTGGATTCGCTTCTCTCCTCTGTTCTGAACATTTTATTCTCAACCCATTGCCTCACCTGTAGCTTTCCAACCTCCTACACCCTGCCATTCAGCAAGTACCTTGAAAGGTCTCTGGTTCTTGTCTTATCTTTCTTCAGAAACACAACCTCTTAATGCTTTTTACTTCCTTGTGGTTCTTTGTTTGTTTGTTTGAAGTCCCTGGAATGAAACTCAGGACCTCATGCTTGCCAAGCAGGTGCTGTACAACTGAGCTAAGCACCCAGCCCTGCTTTCTGTGTCTTTAGATAAGAGATGAGACTCTTTTGCATCCTCTTCACAGAGCCAGTAGTAAACTCAGGCTGTCCAGTTCTCATGACACCTTCCATTAAGGGAGATACCTTGTATTTTAATGGAGGTACCTTGGATTTAATAAACAGTGGTGCTTCAAGATGAACTGGGACTTAAAAAATAGTTTTTGCCATCATTTACTACTTTCTATATAAACAACATATGTAAATAGTGATGTGCAAAGCCTTCACACATATTACCACAATGAATCTTTTAAAAAACACAATGGTGGGGGCTGGGGATTTAGCTCAGTGGCACAGTGCCTGCCTGGCAAGCACAAGGTCGTGAGTTCGATTCCTGGTACCAGAAGAAAAAAAAAAAAAAAAGCCCACAATGGTATAGGTATCATGATCTATCTTATAAAATACTTACTACTATGTGGCTTTTAAGGACAGACATTTATTTCTCAGTTATGAAGGGTGGAAAGTCCATGATCAAAGCACTAGTTGGTTCAATATCTGGTGAAGGCCTGCTTTCTAGTTCGTGGATAATGTTTTTTTTTCTGTGTCTTCTGATAGTGGAACAAACAACCTCTCTTAGGATATCAGTAATCTTATTCATGAGGATTCTACTCTCAGGAGCTAAGTACCTCCCTCAAACCCTCAATTCTTATACAAACATTTTATGGGTTAGGATTTTTACATAAGAATTTTTAAAAGACATGAACTTTCAGGCTATACATTATAATTTTCCATTAGCAGACAAGGAAACTGAACCACAGAGAGATTAAGAAATTTGTTGAATAACACACAGGAACAACGGAATGGAACTCTGACTCCAAGCCCACATCCTTATGTGACCCAGAGGAGCTCATTCTTAAGAGGCCATAAAGTATATGGACTTGGAAGTCAGAGCCATGCCTTGAGTCCATCTCTACCACTCCCTGTGTACCCTGAGGAAGTCATTCAATGTCTTTGCACAGTGATTATAAACACGAACTCTGGAGCTCACCTGCATGAGTTGCAGTCTCTGTTCTATCACTTCCATCTACAGTGATGTTAGGTGCTATCCGGTCTACTTTATGTGAGGAGCTCGTAACAAATACCCAGGATCCTAAGAAATGTGCAGTGACTTGATTAACAGGTAATTTTCTCCAGAATTAATCAGTAAGAAGAAATTCATCAAATATGGATCCTTCTCACTGAGTGGTTAAATAATCATCTTTGTGCTTTGGTCTCTTCATCTATAAACCAAGGGTTTTAAAAGTTTACATTCCTATTTGAGATTAAATGTTCTTATACAGTTAAAGTGTTTATAACAGTTCCTGGGGCAGATAAAACAGTCAATATATAATTAGTAATGCTGTCTTTGCAGTGGAGAAGTCTCTTCATCTGTTAAACAAGAACTAATATTCCTCATCAGCATGTGGTGGGAGTGGTTCGACTAATGTAAACAAGATCACCAAACAGCAAGCTCTTTTATTCTTGGACTTTGGTAGTCAGTTCAAAGAAGGGCATATACAAAGATGTACTAAACCTCAAAGCAACCCCGAGAGACAGGTTAATTAGGGACGTTATTCCAGGGCCCAGGAGCTGGAAATATTCAGTTTGCTCTGTTTTTATTTAATAAGTGCTGATCTACAGCATCTCCAGGGCCATAGACCAGGATAGCTTTTCAGATTTGGGAGACATAAGGGTGCTATAGGTAGGAGAGACATAGGTCAGATAGCCCTAATTCCACACCCTGCCTCTTGCAGCTACTGGTGGGGGTGAGCTTGGGCATATTTCTTACTCTTCATTTCTGTAAAAATAGGACAAAACACCAAGCTCAGAGGCCACTGCGTCATCTTAACTGTAACTTGTATAAAGCTTGTGGGAGGACCGTTTCCAATCCTCTGTTTCTTGACCAAATCATTAAAACCATGGACCAATCTATATTCCCCATTCTTAGTTAAAGAGCCACCAATCTAAATGTCTCCATTTGAAAAAAAAAAAGAAAAATACTGTCTCTGTAAATAATTCATAATTCATGTATATTTCACTGGCCACATTGATTCAGTTTGAGTAGGGTGTACATAGGTGAAGCAATGACTTTAGGTAGAGTATAAATTGAAATATTCAGTGTGAACTGGCTTCAAGTACAGCAGTACTGATTGAGTTTAAGGAAAGCAGAACGTGGTTTAAGTACAGGATTCTACCAGATGAATAGCACAGGTATGCCTTGCTATTGGAGAAGAGGGGTAATGAATGAGAGTAACCAGAGAAGGATAAGTCTTTATGTAACTCTTGCTTTATCCCCAGTATTTTCATTGCTCTCTCCTTCCTTTACCTTCAAACCCACCACCAGACATCAGCAGGATTCTAAGGTCTTCTAACAGTTTAATAAAACTGAATGAAGTACTCAGGAATGTCCTTGTTTCTAACAAGTTTAATGAGATTCATGCTATCCAGTCTGCTTTACCTTAGCTGCTCAGGACACATACCCAGGCTCTGAAGAAATTTGCAGTGACTCGATGAATGGGTAATTTTCTCTGAAATTAAAAAGTAAGAAGAAACTCACCAAACATGAATCTTCTCTGAAGAAATTTTCTTGAGTCTATTAGGAGAAGGGAAAACTTAGGCATAAATAAAGCTGCTAACAAAACCCTTGGAGTTGGGGGGGGGAAATAGATTTGGGAAGGAGGTGGCATGACAGTAAAGACTAACATATTTGGCATTTAGCTTCGCGGGATGAGAGATGACATTTTCCCACTGAGACTTCACACGGTAGAAGGGCCAAACATGTCGCCTTGTGTCTATATTAAAAGGCACGAACCCCATTCTTGAGGACTTCATCATTAGGACCTATTTATCTCCCAAAGCCCTAACTCCTGCTATTGCCGCATTAAGAGTAAGAACTGGAATACACAATTTTGATGAAACCTTCCTCTCCTCTGATCATGCTCACTCTTTAGCTTTTCCTCCCCAATACCAGAGCTCACCTAGGCTTTTCAGTTTGCAGAGTGTCTATAAACACAGAGACCAGAACATGGAACAGATTTTTTCACTTAAGTGTGAAAACGTTTTACCTCTTTTAGCACTTCCTTTCCGGTATTCCTGATCCACAAGTGCACCTGTCCTTCAGATTGTCTTTTGAGTGCAGGACTTTCTCACCAATATCCCTAACCCTGTGGTCCTTGGCTTTCTCTTCCACCCCTACCATGGCTTCACTTACTGCTTTCTATTAATATTAGATATACTTCAGCGCAACTTTTTATGAAGGCCAGCATATTGGCTTACTGCGATCATCCAAACAAAGCATCACCTGTGGGGAACATAGACAACAAGAATTTATTTTCTCACAGCTCTGAAGTCTACAAGTCTAAGATCCAGGTAATAAAAGTATTGGTTCTTCTTTAAGGCTGTCAGGGAAAGACCTGTCCTGTGCCCCTCTGTTTGACCTATCTCTGTTTGCTTGTTTTGTTTTGTTTTGTTTTAAACATGATCTCATTATGTTGTCTAGACCAATAGCAAACTCTTAGGCAAGGAGTCTTCCTGCCTTAGCCTCCCTATTGGCTGGGACAACCAGTACACACCACCATATCTCTTTGGCTGGTTGGTGGCATCTTCATGTATTCCTATCCAGTTATATCTCTGTCCTCTTTATGTCTTCACCTCTGTATATGTCTCCATGTCCAAATTTCCTCTTCTTATAGATGCAGGAGTCTTATTGGACTAAGCCTCATGAACGACCTCATTTTGATTTAATTATCTCTGTAACAACCTTATCTTCAACTATAGTCTTATGCTGAAATTACTGGGGATTATGGCTTCAATTTATGAACTTCTGGGAGGGCATTATTTAGCCCTTAACCATAAGACTGAACAATAATAAATACGTCTCTCTTCTTTAGATTCTGCGTGGATTTTACAGATGTCTAAGTCACAGAATTGAAAGAGGTAGGCCAACTTCACCATATCATCTGGAAGGCGGTGTTACAGTGACTGCTTGCTGTGCTGATTTGTAATCCACCATTCCTCAGACTATAACAAGAATCTCCTGGCTGCCTGCCCTGGGTGCTACCTAATGTGCTCATTTTCACTGTATGAATAGTTCCATGAGTGTCACAGGTCTCCTGTCAAGTAGCATCAAATTTATCAAAACAAAATACAGGACACTTTGTTACATTTAAATTTCAGATAAACAGTGACTGTTTCTTTCTCAGTATCAGTATGCCCCATCCATAAAATTAAGACATAATTTTAAAAATTTACTGTTAGTCCAAAATTCAAATTCATATAGGTACTCTGCATTATATCTATGTATCTTGCCTGATCCTTCATAGGTATATAATTTTGACTCTTTGCCACCTTCCCCTCTATGTAAGTCTTCATCATCTTTGTTTCAGCCTGAATAGTTGCCTCCCCCCTTTTGTATGTTATATGTTGAAACTCTAACTTCCAGTGTGGCTGAACTTGGAGATAAAGGCCTCTGAAGAAGCAATTAAAGTCAAATGAGGTCCTAAGGGTGGAAGCTCTGTATAGTAAGCTTAGAGTGTCCTGAGAAGAAGTCCTTGAGAACATATGCACAAACAAGAGATCACGTGAGCAGACAGTGACATCACAGCTACATACGGCCAAGAAAAGAGACCTCAGAATGCTCCCTACCTTGCTGGAACTTTGGTCTTGGCCTTCCAGAATCCATAACTGTGAGAGATAAATTTCCGTGGTTTCAGCTGCCAAGTCTGTGGTTTCTGTTATGGCGATATGAACAGACTAATACATCCCTGAAGATAGATCACCAGGGACCAGAACACAAAGTACAATAGCAGAGTTAAGTGTTCATTATTTATTGAATGGATGACAAGCCTAGTAATTTGGGATCCTACTCAGTAAAACAGATAGACTTTCTGTTCTATAGATGAATCTGTCTTAGCTTATCTTAGCCAGAACCTGCCATAGCACATTCTCCCATATTACCCATCCCTGCATCATTTATTTATTATCATACCTCTAATTTTAAGCAAATCCTCTAATGTTAACTGCTTAAAATTTCCAATGGCACACAGTCAAGCAAAACTAGTCTACCAGAATGCAATCTGACATTAATCAAAGTGCGTGCAACTTGGGACTTTGATAGTTCCAAGTCCCAAACAATTTCAAAACACCTCTCTCTTGAGTTCTTCAATTTAAATCTTCCCTCACCACCCAGTTTGGAGACAACCCACATAGCTGAGTACACATGTCCGCGCACTGCTGGGATGAGATCAAATGTTTCCTGTCAGAGCGGGGTCTCAGCAGCCCTTCTAGGGCTCTCCGTGACCCCTAGAGCCGGTGTGAGAGTGGACCAGCAGCAGATGGCTTCACATTACCACATTCCTCCAGCTTGTTTTCTTACGATGTCAGATACCCAAGAGCATCCCAAACCCTCAAGAGAGATGGGATTTCAGGGAAATCCTTTTTACTTTTGTGAAGTAGAAGACATGAATAGGAATACTTGAGCCCAATGAAGACAGGGAAGATTTAAAACACCTACAGCAGGTTTTTAAGCTATCAGCTACAATATCAGGAAAATACCCAAATGGTTAGTTTTACTTCCCCAAACATTCAGTTCCACCTGGGGAAAAAGTGCCACACATACCTACTGCTGAGGATTAAGACAGGTCAGGGATCACAGACTCGTGGCCACACAAACAGATTATCCTGTTTCCTGAGACATCCTTTATGTTGCAGCTGCCTCCTCGGAAGAAGATCATGAGTCACTATTTTCCTCTCTCCCATTTGATCCGACACGATGTAAACAAGCAGTGTGGAACGGGAAAGGAAACATCTCGGGCAAAGGATTTCAATGCAGTTGGCACAGCTTACCTTGTGCAAGCTATCTGCTTACACGGGAGCAAGGTCTGTGACTAGGGGAGTGCCCTGCCTGGGCATGCATCTGAGTGAGTGAGAAGAAATTATTAACATCAGTGATGTGACAGACTGTGGTTCACTGTGACCTCGTACCATCCAAAGTGCCACACTGGGGGAACACGGTAAAAGAATCACCGTGTGGGGGCTGGGGATTTAGCTCAGCGGCAAAAGCACCTGCTTGGCAAGCGCAAGGTCGTGAGTTCGGTTCCCGGTACCTGAGAAAAACCAAAAAAAAAAAAAGAATCACCGTGTGATTCTTATAAGAGAGTAAACACGAGCAAAACCACTTTTAAGGGGCGAAGTCAATCCCATGTCTTGGTGCCTAAATAACTCATTTAAAAAATGGGGAACATTTATTTGTAATTAGCAGTACAATGATGAATAAATATTAAGTAAAAGAATAAATGGGTTCTTACTCGAGCTTGAAAGTAATGAAACTGAAATATAAAAGATGTAAGGAATTTATTAATTTTAGATGTCTCAGAATGGTGAAATTTTTATTTTTTTCCTCTCTTGTGAGACAGTTATATGGAATCAGAGTGTTTTTAAGATGTAAAATAATATGATTATACAATGTCAATAAGAAATTATAAAGGGCCACCATTTTGGATACACTGATATCAAACCAAAATAATTACTATGATATTTACAAATGACTATCAGGAAATAACAGAATATTGTGGTACCATTGGGTAGGTCATTGAAGACAGACATATAGAAGCTGAAATACCATTAAACAAAAAGTTATCAAAATGAAGGAAATGTTTGCCTCAGATAACATAGTGCTGACAAGTTTGGTAAAATTTCAATATGGCACTTCTTAAATTAATGTGAAATCTGGCTTTAAAATGGTTCATATGAAAATTCTCAATGTGCAAACATAGCTCAGAGATAATGAGCTCCAGGGTAAATTTCCCTAAGATTATAGCTCAGCTCTTCCCAAAGCTAGGTCTGGACCATGTTACCAGGGTCCTCAGATTAGTAGTACTTAACCTTGCTTTTTTTAATGTCATTAGTTAATCTATCAAAAGCACATAAACAGTGCTTGATATATATTTAAATAAATATTTGAATGAATATTTAGAATTTAAAGAAATTATATATTTTATACCATCACATAAATAGCCTTATTTCATTTTATGTATATTATAATTGTGTGATGACAACTTCTGGTGTCTATACTACTAGACATCCTTATGTTCATTTCCCTGTTAATTATCAGAAGTTTACTTTATGTACATCCTTATTAATCAAACCAATCAGCAAAACAAGAAAAGTCTAATTATATCATCAATTTTAACTCCAAATTAGCCCATATCATACATATGTGTAGCCAGAGATGAGCTAATACTACAAGCAAGGAGAATTATGAGAAAAGCATTGAATTTTAAAAAAACATAACCTTGGTCAAACTTAGCTCAATCCTCCCTGGGTTTCAGATATTTTTAGACATTCAAAACAAGGGCTTGGGCAAAATTGTATCTGTGATCACTTCCATTACTCAAATGGAAGTTATTACCATTTTAGTGTTGCTTTGGTAATATCATACAAGTATTAGTAACAATTATTATTATAAATAATTGGAGATCTTCTCCTTCCTGAATCACTGCTTTAGTCATTAAGCTCAATTACCTCATTATCTGAATTCACGTGAATTATAACCCTGAAATGCATGCGTAAGAATGGCTTTAAAGAAACCAATGTGTCACCTTATGCATTCAGAAAATAATCAAATATGCTGAGGCCATATGGTATGAGGTCCAAGGTTCACTGCCTCCTGTCCCCAGTCTCTCCTTGTGACTTCCATTTCTACCCCACATTTTGGAGTATTTATTTACCTTTCTTTTAGATGAGGCCCTGCAGTCCCTCAAGGGGACTCGGAGAGATTCAGTTCTAAAGAGGGACTCTGGAGAAAACCATATTTCATGCCCACTGGCATTTGGGAGGCTGTCGCACTATCTGTTGGGAAGTTTCTTGCAGAGTATAAACAGGGAGTTAGAGGGTGGCCGAGCATGTGACTTCCCTTCCACCTTGGGTCCGTTGTTGAAGCTCTCAGCACCTCCCGCTCACCATCTGCAGGATAGATCAACAGCATGTAACAGACCATTTATTCTGATGACCTTGTTTTACTGATGTAGAAATTGAGGCCCTGAAAGGAAAGCGGTGTTCCCAAGGTCACAAAATGCATTAGAACTCCCAATCAGAAATCACCTTCTCAGCCATCCCTGTCTTTTCCTCTTTTAAGTCAAGCATGAGCTTCTGACGAGAAAAAATTCTGACAGTCATAAGTAACTGTGTGTAGCTCAGTTACTCTGCATTGCTTTTATCACAGTGTGAACGGAGTGTGTTGGTGTGGCGAGATTACGGCCTTCAGTTTCAGGCAGACCTTAGATGAAGCCTTGTTTTTTATCAACTATCTGTGCATTTCTTTAGCCTACCCTCTACTTATTTCTTTGCCCAGTAAATATGATATTTATTGAAAATGAAATGTGATAACATATGCTAAGGAGCTGAGTACAGTGTCAAACATGTGGTAGAAACTCTAAGAAGTCCCTTTCTTCTTTTTAACTCCTCTGAGGCTGTGATAATCACACTTCAGTTCCCAGCAGTTAAGTGTTTTTTCAAAGAACACCCAGGCATATTTCACACAATTGCTGCCTCTTAAATACTTTTTTATACAAAATGCAGAATTGCCATTAAAATTGCTTTACCGAATAATGAAAAAGAAACTCTTGAAATTAAGCAGTGTGAGACCTCCAGTCAAAGGGAGTAAATAGAACACACACATACACCCACAAACACATATCACATGTACAGATTTACTTCTACTCCCTCTCCCAACAGTAACCCCGAAAGAAAACCTGTAATAAGACAACTAAATTATTTTTTAAAGGCATAAATCCATGAGGACAAAGTGGAGAGAGAGAAAAATTTTGGAAGCTGAAAAACAGATGGCTGAATTGTACTGACTAACTTAGCAGACCCACACAGGCAGGTCCTTAAGCTGGCGATGAAGAAAGCTGAGAAGCAATTTGATTTATGCCACGATGTCCCCAAGTCTCAGCAACTGGCTGCATCGCAGACCTCTGAGTGAGGGAGAGAAAGTGGGGCAACAAGCCAAAGAAGCAGTTGTAGTAGTGTTCAGATCATTCGGACCCCTAGATGGCTTCTCCTGCTTAAGGCATTCCTTTCACTCAGGTAGAAGGAAGAACTGACTCAGGAAAATTTAAAACTAAAGGTCTCTGGACAGATGGCCAACAGGCAAAGTTCTGTGTGAGTATGAGAGTGCCACGTGAAAACTCACGAGATAAGGGAAGGCTGGCACTGGCAGCATGGCGATTGGGACCTTCTTTGATACAGATGGAGCTTTCAAAGTACTGGAAACCAAGCATAGCCTGAACATAGAGTCCTCTGGAGACTGGAAGGCAACTGGACTCAGTCCAAGAGAAAAGACTAAAAGTACTGGCTTCTGAGGTTCTCCACTGTACCACCCCAGCCAAGTCCACATTTGCAGAAAATGTAATAGTCAAACTCATTTGATGTACAAGAATCTTCTCAAGAAATTTCAGGGTTCATTTTTGCAAACTGTCAGTCCCCCAGGTCACTTGGTATTGAAAAAGAGTATTTAGTAGAAAGTCAGAAATGAAAGAGAGGAAGCAAAATGAAGAAATAATAAAAGGAAGATGAAGATGAAAGGAAGAAGGAAGGGGAAGAAGAGGAGGATAAAGAAGCACAAACACAGAGAGCTTCAAAAGTGCTCTCCCTGGCATCTTCCGAGAAATACAAGATTATGTAATCTGTAAAAGCAAGAATGGGAAGCCGTAAAGTAAGAATTCTCAAAGAAGAGCAAAAAGAATTCTTAGAATTATGAGATATGAAGGAAGATACAGATATGTACAGAAATATAAAAGATGAAAAGTAAACCACAACAGAGACTCTAAAGATAAAATTAGTAAATTTCATAAAAACTATAGCAGAGGTAGAGGTGCAGAATGGATAAAAGACATACACACACAGCACTGTGATGCACCTAAGAGGTTCAACATCCAAGTTTTAAAAACTTTAAATACAGAATAGAAAAATTAGAAATAAAGAAATCATGGGCATAATAGTTAAACAGTTTTCTTTTTGTATGCACAGGAGTTCCTATTTCAAAGGTCTTAAATAGCACTTATAACACACCTATCCCAAAACACAAAATCAAGATGTGTTTAGAGTACTGAATAAAAACAAGATAAATTTTACATACAGGAGCAAGAGTAATAGTACACTTCTCACAAACCACACCTGAAGCTCTTGGCATTGTGCGGAAAATTACCCGCTCCACCGCAGGAAAAGACTCCCACACAAAGACAGTCTATCACTCTCATATGAAGACACAGCAAAGATATTTTTGAGGAGGTAAGGTCTTCGTTTCTGATCATACACTGTCTCCCAGAAGTCGACTGGAAGATTTGATTTTCGTTCTGTGAAAACTGAAATAACCTAGGAAAACAGAAAGGATGGGATTCAGAACTCAGATAGGAGGTGACCTCCAAAGAAGGCAAAGTCAGCGGCCAGCGTGAAGGCAGGGAAAGAAATAGACTGAGCTACCAGGAGCTAAAAAAGAAGGAATTCCTCTAAGATAACATATTTCATTTAGTAATCTCAAGTGTTTCTGTGTTTTCAAAGAAGATTTACACAACTGGGGAAGAATTTAGCGTTGAATTAATCACAAGTATACAGAAAATTAGCCAATGAAATGAAAAGACAAATCTTCGACTTCATGGGGAATTATGCATATTTTCATGTTACTAGTGCATATTCATTATATGTAGTAGCTGGTT